ACACACACGTTCACACACAAATATTAAAAGGCCCCGAAAAAAAAAAATATATATATATATATATATATATATATATTTTTCATTCCTTGGTTGTTTCTTTAGGACACATAAGAGAAAAAAAAAAAAAAAACGTAAAAAAGAAGAATACGAAGAACCCCCAACCAAAAATCCCTCCCCCCAAAAATAACTTTTTTTTATTATTTTTTTTGAATTTATCTTCTCCACATTTTCTGTTTTTTATTTTTTACAATTCTAAAAGCTTATCTTTTTCCAAAAAAAAAAATATGGGGCTGTAGCTAGGCTACCAGCCGGGCCGCCCAGGTCCCGGGTTACCAGCCCGTGCAAGAACAAGGGAAGGTCCCAGCAAAAAAAAAAAAAATCCAAAAACTCTGAAAAATTACTATGTTATGTAGAAAAATAAACTAAACGACTTTTGCCTCAGGCTCACATCGAAATTCTTTACCAAATTTAAAATATAAAATATAATTTTATTTTTATTTTTTTTTAATCTTTTTGGCTCGGCCGGGCGAGTGACCCCGGGCCACTCTGGTAGCCTAGGGTTGTAGGGACCTAGGGATTAAAAATCCCTACAACCCCTTTTTTTTTTTTTTACCCATTACTTAATTCAGGAAAAATATGGTAAATTCGCGTCCGCGGTGCGGACCAGGTCGGCCGTGGACGCGGCCGTATATACGGCCGCCATCCGAGCTGGACCTCGCGGACGCGTCCGCGGGTGTTTCATAGGTAGGTATCGAACAATATTCTATTTATTTGCACCCTGCCCGTGGCATCCCCGTAGAGTACTCTAACCCATTCTCTGAAATTTGGGCCGACTCCCATCTTCTCCATGCAGTTGTGTAGGAAGTCCCAATTGACTTTATCGTATGTCTTTTCAAAATCAAAAAATAAGATCGCTGCTTGCATTCGTTTTTCTGTGATCTTCTTTGCAGCCTCATTTAGAGTCATCACATTGTCCAGGATGTATCGACCCGGGATGAAACCTGCTTGGTCGACGTGAAAGCAGTTGTCTGTTAGTTTTATGATTTTGTTGGCTAATATCTTTGATAGGATTATGTACGGCGTTGTGAGAAGTGAGATTGGTCTGTAGTTCTTGAGGTCCTCCTTATCGCCCTTTTTGTATATTAGTGACACTACGCTGGTGCTTAGGAATTGCCCCAAGCCTTTTTTTTCTCTGTTGTCATTGATGAAGTTCAAAAGGTCATTGCCCACTGTTGGCCAGAACTGGATCCAGAATTCTTTGGATAGGCCGTCAATTCCGGCTGCTTTGTCATTTCCCATCTAGGACAAGGCTGTGTGCAGTTCACCTATGGTGATTGGTTTATCCAGGTCCTCCGTTTATTCATGGGTGATCGTTCTCTCGAGGTAGGTCATCATGTGCTGACGGGCATTTATATTAGCTGTTGGAGGGGGGGAGGGAGTCTTACACTCGTAGAGGTTGGCGAAGGACCTGGCTACCCTGACTGCCTCAGTCATACGTTCTGTGGAGAGGAGTGAGTTGTTGAGTCTGAAGAAGCCTTGGCCTTTTTCTACCGAAGAATTGAAATTAAGAAGCAAGTAGGTTGGTTTATGATCGAGCCCCTTGGAGGCTGCTGCTGGTAGGATTTCGGCCTCCTTGACTGCCCCCTGTAGCATGTTGGAAATTAAGAAGAAATCGATTCGTGATAGTGACGTGTGGTTAGAGCGGTTCCTCTTGACTACGGAGAAGGCTTTCTTACGTGAGTGGAGGATTCGGAATGGGTCAACCAGGTCGAACTCTGTCATGATGTTCCGTAGGTGAGTGCTCGGTCTTGTGGGCCCCAGCAGCACTGTCCGGGAGATGCGATCCAGGCTGGGATCCAGCGTGGTGTTCCAGTCACCTGCTATAATTAGTTGTAGGGGGTCGGGAATAGAGATTTGATGTGATAAAAAAAGACTAGGCGTTCGGCTTCTGTGTTGGGGATACTGATCTCTTCTCCTTGCCATCTAATTTGGATCCATGACCATCTGCCTTCTGCTGTGTCACCTTCGCTGTTTACTTACCAGACCCTCGGACCAGATTTTGGAGGTAGTCGGTATGAGGATTGTTGTGCCACGGTTGCTTTGGTCCGCTTTGTTGGACCACATATTTTTTGGAAATTTCATTAGCCTTTCCTTTTGCTTTGGCTTTTGTTCTGTCACGACAACCACCAGTAGAAGTGAGGTCCTTTCCACACCACTCTTGAAAAGTCATTTTCAAGAGTTCCTGCATGGCCACAGAGCCTCTTGAAAGTTCGGGCTTTCAAGAGGGGCTGTCGGAGTGGCTCTTCAAACGCTCTCAAGAGCAGCTCTTGAAAGACTTGAAACCCCAGGCTGCCTGCCTGCAACTTGTGCTTTTGCAAGCGTCCTTGGCCCAACCCTTGACGGAGTATTGATTTTCAAGAGTTGTCGGGCCATGATCCTGACGTCATTGGGGGGAAAAAAAAAAGCTGTACCGCTGTCTTTTTGCAATCTTACTCCAGCAGCAGCACCCTTTCAAGAGTGCTGTGTGGCGAGGGGCCGAAAAGTCTTGAAAACGTCTGACAGCGATTGAAACACGCCACCATTTCAAGAGCGGTGAGGCGAGGCCCTGAGAGTGCGTATGTCACTTCCCTTGCTGATTGTTAGCTTTATTGATAGTTTTGGCAGTGAATAGATTGAAATTGGGTGTGTCAAGTAACGGAACAGAAGGTTATCAGGTGTTTTGACCTCTCTCCTCTGCCCAGTGTGCCCGAGGCAGACAAGGGAAAAGGACAAGAAACGGAGGGCCGTGACAGGCTCTTTCATCCAGTTTTGACCCACTCATCAGGAGGCTGAACCCTCTACAGTCTGCAGAGACAAGGCTGAACCTTCTACAGTCTGCAGAGATGAGGCTGAACCTTCTACAGTTTCCCGAATCAATGATACTGTCAGTGATAACGCCCACCTTTACCCCAGTTGAGGTTGGGCACCAACCACTGCCCCACAACTGATGCTTGAAATGGGCACCAACCACTGCCCCACAACTGATACCTGAAATGGGCACCAACCACTGCCCTCAAGACCACCTGCGATAACAATTGAAGCGGACTATCACCCCCCCACACGAAAAGAAAGCCTTTTGATGTTTCACACCCCCATCATAAACCATCAAAACCCACACGTAACAAAGCTCTGCCACAGCCAGAACATACACCGCAGAGTGCAACACCGGTTCAGCAAAACTTGGCATGCGGCAAAAATCCGCGGTGGGAAAAAGGGGCTCACACGTACTGGTGTTCAAGCCGCCAATAGTGCCATCCCAGGGCCTATTCGATCCCATCCTCAGCACATGAAACTCCTTGGCCATAGTATGGTCTTCCATGTGTCTACCAGTTATTCATTTATTGGTACACGTCAACAAAATTTTGGGCATTTCTGCCTCACCAAACAGCATTATGATCCATCAGTATATTTGTGCCATCCTCATAGAGAAGGACTTTATCAACACATTTGCTCACCTCGAGCAACAGGGCTTTATCAACACAAATGGACCTGCATTTTGTATCATCTGAGCCAGAAAACCTATGCACCACCAACTAACATCTCGAACACACGTCATGGTGGACCCTACAACCGGAAGGCAAGGAAAGGGTGCACAAAGAATTCCAAGTCATGCTCACAATCACCACTAAGACCACCAAAAAGAAGATAACCAATAACATTAAAAAAAAGATAACCAATAACATAAGACCACCAAAAAGAAGATAACCAATAACATCAAAAAAAAGATAACCAATAACATACTCCACCTGTCCAGAATCCATCGCGCATCAACCAACTTCAGCAACAGTCGGTACACATTCAAGAACCTCCAGTGACAAGTTACTGGCAACCAATCCTCCTTCCCCCATCATTACCCCTATCTCATGTTTCCTGGCCTCCGTTCCATCACCTCACACTGCTCCCTTCCCGCTCCACACCTTGCATCTCACATAGCAACACACACACACACACACACACACGTGTGCACACACACACACAGCAGCTCATAAATCCCTGTGCTCAAGCAGGCACATACGAGTGCATGCATCAGAGCCTTTATTCCACTCCTCTTTGATCATACTCACACTACAGAGCCTTTATTCCATCCTTTGACCATACTCAGACCACAAGTTTATGGTTCGATTTGGCCCTAAATACATCCACATACCTCCAGTCCCTACTGTATGGCTTCCCTGTCTGCTTAGCCGGAAGTTTGCTTCTGCTTAGCCGCAGCCGACACATGATCCGAAATAAAATCAAACGCCTTTGTCTCCTTCTTCTTTGTCGACTCTGCTGACAAAAGTTGAGATGGTGTTGTTGCGTCCCCCATAAAGTCTGAGCAGTAATTCCCCAGCGCCCTCATGTTCAGTCCAAGCGGACCCATTCTCATGCCCATGCCAGCTCCCCCAACTTCGGTGACGCTACCATTTACAGTCCCCCCTGCAGCTGCCACCCCCCTGCCTGCCATTCCCATTCCTGGTGAGATGAGTTGTGTCGGCACAAAGGCAGTACCCGGTACAAGTTGCACCGGTACCATCCCTTGAGGGGAAGAACACAAGCCAACACCCATTCCCACTCCTACCATTCCACTCGTACCCAACACCGCCATCTGCGGCACAACCACGGCCCCTCGCACTGCTCCCGGTTGATGTACGCTAGCCTGTCCCCCAGTTCCGGATCCCCGAGTGGCACTTATCCGTGGTCGCATTGGTTTCATGTTTGGCCGCTGCAATCCGAGTCCCTTGAATGCTTCTGCTGCACCTACTGTGGTACCCCCTGCTGCCTTGCCCCTCGCTACTGCTACTTCACCATCTGCATGCGTTCCTTCTGTTAGGGCTCCTGTTGCCCTGGTACCACCAGAAGCTGCTGAAACCTGGGAAAACTGTGCCTTGTTGGGCCCTCCAGCTGCTGCTGTTGATGCTGTTGATGCTGTTGACGCGGTTGTTGGTGATGGAGAGGCTGCCAGCGTTAAATCCCCAAACAAATTGCCCACCGGATCTCCTCCAGCTCCACTGACATCGCCTCGACTACAATTCCCTCCATCCACATCCAGTCCGGAAAACAAACCACCAGGATCCCCATCAGACCCTCCAGATTCTCCCAGAGACAGGCCCACCGTCGGGGCCCCAACATGTAAATGCCCATCAGATAAGAGGTCCTGCCCTAGCAAGTCATGTGGCACTGTCGTGACAACAGATGGGGGTGAAGCGGTGATAGAGACATTCCCATCCCCTGGAGCTTCATCCTCTCGCGAAGGAGGGCCTGCACTGTTCACGCCATCCATCTCACCCAGCAGATCATTCTCCCCCATGTCAATGAGGGGCTCTTTTGGCACCACCCTGACAGTTGCGGCAGCAGCAGCGGCAGCAGTCGAGATCCCAGCCGCCCCACTATCACGGGATCCCGTCTGGTGCTTGCTCGATTCGCCCTCTTCTAGCCGTTCAGGGGGGGTCAGCAACTCCAAGACTTTCTTCGCCCGCTCGCGGACAGACGTCTGAATCAACGAAAGGCAGTCGACGACCGAGTTGGCATCATTGGCAAAATAGTTATAGACAGCTTCTGCGCTACATGTAGGGCCGCCTTCCTTTCCAACCCTCAGCAGTGCTTCCAACGCGTACAAAGCCTTCAGCCGCGACTGCCAGGCATGAGCACGTAATTGCCTATCGAATGCCTTGGCCAGATGAAAGCCATCCAACCGCTGAGCAGTGTTCACAAACTCACGCAGAGCCTCTGTCGTTGGCTGCAGCCGTACGCCTCCTGGCATTGTCATCCTCTCAACAAGTCTGTCTTCCTCCAACGGCACACCCACATGGACACCCCCTGCTGCTTTCCCCGCCTCACTACCCACTGCTGGTCTGTTCTCTACACCTCCTGCTTCTCTTGGGCTCCTCAATGCCCCACTCGTGTCCCCTGTTCCGCATGCCATTGGAGAGAGTCTGCTGCCCCAATCTTCCCCAGAATGCCTCCCACTACCATACTGTTTGCTGCCCCATTCTCCACCTCCTCCCCTACCCTCTCTTTCCCCCCCCGCATTGCCCCCCCTGTATCCCCCAAATCCAATCCCCCTACTGTCTCCTCTTCCCCTCTCTGCTCCCCATCCATCATCCGCAGAGTTCCCTGAGTTCAAGGGTCGCCTTGTCCCCGATCCCGACCGGTAGCCTACTGCGATGTTGCTGGCCACTTCGGTTGCAATCTCCAGCCCCGATAGCAACGATGCACTCCCCAGCCCTATCATTCCCGATAATCCACTTTGATCTCTTCGGTCCTCGCCACCTCCCCCTCCCCCAATTTCACCCCCTCTTCCCATCACCCCTTCACCTCCACCTCCAAAACCCTGTATTCTCTTTCCCAAGCCGGTTCCTCCTTCGATGGATCCGACACCACCTTTGGGCGCGTCAACGAACATCGCTTGAATTGCATCGTGAGCAGTCTCCCTCACAGCTTTGTTAAGTGAGTCCCCGCGCAACGGATGCGGCTGCCCTTTGTAATTGAACAGGGCACGAATGGTACTCGAGTGTCGCTGGAGTTCCCGTCTGAACTCAGGTCCTCCCTTTCCCAGCGCAAACTTCATTACCCTCAATACTTTCTGCTTCACAAGAGGGGATTTGTGATCCAGTTTTTTCAGCAAATGATCGATCACGTCCTTGATTACTTCAGCCGATGACGTCCGCAGCAGTTCCGATATTTCGTCCAACTTGTACACTGGAGTAATGTTCTCGTCGTCCGACGTTGCTGCATCAATCAGCCGGGATCTCTTGAACGCCTCTACGGCCTGCAGAGTCATCTTCACAGCCGACTCCGGAGCGCTAAACATTGTTGCACCTTCCTTCTTCTACTCGCCGCCAACTAGATGTTAACAATGTCAGGACTCGATCCACGTATCGCCGAGCTAACCCGCGCCTCCACTGCAACCTGCTTGCTGCCTGCCCGACCGACCGAAGAGCCTGACAAACCTAATAGCATAATCCTAATTACGTATGTAACACAATAATAATGGAAGTAGCCTCCACTGACCAGAACTTTTTTAACAAAGTCAGGACTCGATCCACGTATCGCCGAGCTCACCCGTGCCTCCACTGTAACCTGCTTGCTGCCTGCCTCACCGACCGAAGAGCCTGACAAACCAAAACTTTCTGACAAAAGAATCTAATCCGATCATCCTAATTACACATTCAGAACAATAATTATGGAAGTAGCCTACTGACCAGCACCTTCTGACAAAGAACGAGTTTGACAGACTTGAGTCCCCCCCAACCAATCCGTTTTCAATTCCCCGCGCTGCAGGCCAAGGCACATACAGCAAGGAGGACGACCTAATCAGCGGGCCAAAACGCCCCCATTATCAACAACGCGCACTGTTGTATGATTACCTGCTGCCGTGCTTGCACGCCCCCATAATTGGCAGGTTCCATAACCACGACCCACTCCTCACAACCCCCCTAACATAGCCAATTGTGACCAGAATCGTCCACAGCAACTCTCTGCAACAAGGCCTCCCCAACACTCAAAACTGGTCCAGTCCGTCCCTCAAGTCCAGATACGTCAAATCCCACGACACAAAGACCAAATTATCGAGTGCTTTTGCGTCTTGACATTCGCAAACCCGAAAGACCAAAGCTACCCCAGTGAAGAGAAATGGAGCAGCTTATCCACCTCTGAAGAGAAATGGAGCAGCTCATCCTCAATTCATCGACCGTAAGTAAGCATCATTAGCTCCGACATCGTCCCGCAGCACATCGAATCCACCGAATCGATCTGTGTGCAACAAGAAACCCAACGCCAATAGTCAGCAATCAACCAACGGGCCTAGCACACTTGCCACACCCATGCAACAGTTGAAATACACATCTGGTCCTTCAGGACATCCGTTAAAACTGGAACGACACAGAGAAGATTAGCATGGCCCCTGCGCAAGGATGACACGCATAAATCGAGAAATGGTCCAAATTAAAAAAAAAAAATAGAAAAAATACAGATCTCAGTTCGAGACCAGATTGAACTAGATGGATGAAATAAAATATTGTTCTCAATTATCGAGGGCCGGTCTGTTCCACGATGATATCTCAAGACCGTCGCCATTTTTCAATGATAAGGAATTACCAGTAAAAAGTCAGCAATGACACTGACCATACAGTTCTCCTGGCAGGTCAGACGAAACCCAGAATCTTAATCATCATTAGTCAACGGCAGAGACACAGAAAAGGGGATAATCCGTTCAATTAATGACCTTAGAGTCAACTCTGACTGGAGGGGAGGGGGGCAAGGTCAACTCCCACTGAACGACACACTGACATAATCACTTAACACAGTTGAGGGGAAGACGAACCTGTCCGTCCTGTACTATTCTACACTAGAGAATCGTGCGTTTGGAACAACGCCACCACCTGTCATTAGCCGCGTTTCTCTCTCTCTCTCTCTCTCTCTCTCTCTCTCTCTCTCTCTCTCTCTCTCTCTCTCTCTCTCTCTCTCTNCTCTCTCTCTCTCTCTCTCTCTCTCTCTCTCTCTCTCTCTGTCTGTGTGTGTGTGTGTGTGTGTGTGTGTGTGTGTGTGTGTGCGTGTGTGTGTGTGTGTGTGTGTGTGGATCCGCAGATCCTGCCTCGATTCCCCTCGACTACCAACCCACCCTCAACCCCCCGCCGACGTCCACGCTTATGGCTTATCCTCAGTTGCATTAATGGGACCTTCCTTTCTCTCCGACAACATGTCTCTCTCAATGTTACCACCCTCCCCTTGCCCTAGCGCATCTCCAGATTATCCGTTTCTGGTGAAACCCTTTCGTCTCTTCAACTTCTCGTTCTCAAAGGCAAATCTCGCAGTTTAGACTCAAATGTGCATCCCAACTCAGCGCCTCCCGCTCCTCTGTTCTCTTCAGATCCGTCCCCTTGCGATCTCTGCCTACCTCTCTCTCTCCCTTCCTCCTCTTCCCGCGCCGCCTGCTCTCCTCTCCTCCTGCAGATCCTTCGTTTCCTCGTTTTGTCTCACCCCCCTCCTCTTCCTCTGCTGTTCCAGTCCTTGTCTCTTCTCTGAGAGCGAGGGGAAGGAAGGGAGCCATGGAGATAGAGGGGAGCCGGGGATAGTGGACAGCAGAGAAAAGGGAAAAAGGCGTCGGATACGTGGGGAAAAGAGAGGCAGAGCAAAGAGAGGCAGAGAAACGGGAAGAGTTCTGGGGACAGATCGACAGCGGGAGAGAAGATCCTTGACATGACAGTTACAGGAGGACGTGAAAGACGCGGAGAAAGGGATCGCGCCAAGAAAGAAACGCACCCAGCGGCGCACGCTCCATGAAAAGAACAAGTCGGATCCTTCAATATACCATTCCCCACCTCGAGAAATACCCATCACAACGTTGACGGCCGTGTGAGCAAAACGTCCCCGACTGAAGCCATGTGAATAAATCGAAAAGCGGAGTTCATAAATAGGTTCTAAGATGATCCTGTCCTGTAAGCATGATACTCCCAGTGGACGCTTTTCGTTCTTCCCAGAAGAAGAAGAATAGTGAATACTGAAAACAGCGGCCATAGACTGCTTCTCGCACATGCTTCAACAGACAAACATTACATCTCCGCATGGACAGTTATCAGCAGAAACGCGCAAATTCCCCGATACGTTTCGGCCAGGATGGGCTTCTTCCAAGATCGCCTTTCGGCACCACCAAACTGCCAGATCATCTGCCATGCACTAAAGTCAATTCTCCCATTCATTTACTGGCCTCGCTAGAGGCTTGTTTACGCGAAACTGTTCGTCACGAATTTTGCTTTTCAAAACTGCCAAAACATCAGTCAAAACTAGTTCAACAAAGCGTTTTATAATTGAAAGATGGAGAACAGCTAATATGACAAATTTCGAAAAGAGATGGCTGTTTTCCGCAAACCTACAAACGCGCAGAGATATCTGCGCGATCTGCGCGTTTCGCGCCTGGCGCTCCTCAAGGTATAGCGAGTGGTCAATCGCAAAGCACCATGCAGAACATAGTATTCATCAAGAGAATCTGCACGGACATACCAAAGCTCAAACGCGCTCATTCCCCGACGGGCTTCGGTTAATTGCGCACCAGCATTTGTCAAGAGGCTTCCACTATCAAGGAGTGGAAGAAGAAGAAAAAGAGTAAATGGAACGGAGAAGAAGAAGAAGAAGAGTAAATGGAAGACAGCAAAGAAGAGAAAGAAGACCGGCACGGCGGGAGCGGAGGCACAATAATGGCACTAGGCCTCGCTTCACTACTCACCAAATATGCAAAATGAACCTTCCGCTAAACCATGCGAAGATTCCCCGCCATAATCTTGTCTTTTATGCATGCGGTGAGTAGTGGATGAGGCCCATAGCCACACTTGTTCATTCAAGGGCGAACTTGACAGCAGAGACGATCAGATCTGATTCGAACGATCGGATCCGCTCCAAAAGGTCCTGGTGTGAGCATGCCCCAAGAGAACACACGCCCCACTCACCTTCTTCGACGGACATGTCTCCCGCATCACTTTGCACGCGCTCCCATTTGGAATACTTTTCGCGCGCTCCTCTTTCACGATGGCGGGGAAATGCCATGAGAAAATATGGGCAAAACAAACCTTTCAAAAAAAAAAAAAAAAACTTGAGTAATGTGGGCAGCCAAATGGACTACCGCCTTGTGCACGAACGGAGTTTTTCACGGCCCGCCCACTCGCCTGAGACCAAAGACGGAACAGGAAGTTCACTGCACCGCGCCGTACCTCGCATGCAAGTACCGATGCACGCAAGGCACGGTCACGCCAGCGCCGACGAAAGAGCGCGCAGTGATCAAAGATCAAACACTGCCTGGAACCGCGACCCACCGAGAGTTTGGTTTCGGTCACGATTTCGCATACAGCCCATTGACTTACCCTGAGGGCACGGGTGCTCAGCCCGTAGTTCGTTTGTTTATGTGGTTAGGGAAGGGTAAGGTAGTTATTATGTTGCCCGGTTGGTGCTTTATTCACAATGTTCATGGGACGCTGGACCCAGTTTCCAGCAGGTGGCACTTCCCATCAATAGACACGAGAATGTATGTGCG